ACAAAGGGAAGAAAGAAAAAACGGTACAAATTACTTTTAGTGTACAAGAAAAATTACATTTTTTAAAAAAAGGAAGAGACAACAAAATTCTTTGTCAGGAAAAAAGTCGGTTTGAAAAAAGGTTAAGTCGAAAAAAATAAACTTTAATTTTGCACTTTTTACCCTCTTTTGTGTTAAAAATGCAAAAATTTTTAATTTGCCGGAAAAACATAAACAAAAAAATGTCGGGATTCAGGCCGAAAGAAAGCAACTTGAACAACCTGAATTTACTCCTTTCCTTTTTTAATGTTTTTTGTTCGTTTTTGAAATTTCCGTCTGATCGAAAAAACGAAAATCGAAAAAAAACCATTAATCGTGGAACGCAAAAAAAAAAGGAAAGAAATTGGGAAAAAAACCCAAAATCTACTCCTTCCTTGGGAAAAAAAAGTACCCTATTGTTTGCTCCAGCTTGTTCTCTGGTTTTTCGTTACTCTTTTCTTATCTGGGAAAATTTTCCAGAAGTTAAAGTTGTGTTCTGTAAATTTTGGAAAAGAACACCCCCTTTTTTTTCCGTCGAGGCGGGTAAAAAAAGTTCTAAGTTTCCAAAAGAAAAATAAAAAAAAAGTTTGATTGTATCGATTTGTGCATTAAAATAAACAAGCAAAACTTTTTAAGAAAATTTTTTTTCCAGGTTGGGTCCGTGAAAAAAAAAAGAGGGTTGTTTAAAAAAGCGGTTGTGTCATTTATTGTCTGTTAATGCTTCGTTTTCTTTTTGTTATAATTTTTTCAATAATGATGTAAAAATTTTTCATTTTTGGTAAAAAAAAAAAAAAAATTTTTTTGTCAAAAACAGGTTTTGTTGTGACAGCAACGAACCCTACGGACAAAACAAAAAAAAGAAACAATTGGAGAGACCACATGTTTAATAACAGTATAGCAGCAAAACGTAGCAGGTTACACAACCTTATCTCTATTCACGTCCTATAACACTGTTAGTTTAATGACCATATAAATTAAAAAACATTTTGTACACTCACGATATAAAAAACAGCAAACAGTTTGGTTACATTGGCCGATGTGGATAAAGGGCGAGCTAAACGTGCGGAGGAATTTTAGCGGATGGCACATAATATCAGTGTATGTGTCTTATTGTGTTATAGTAAGTAATTTCAATATATATATATAATAATAAGGTGCGCAATGGTAAAGAGAGGAAATGTGTGTTATAGAAGATCTTCAAGAAGATTTGAGTGTCGAGGAGATAGTTCACGTCATATCAGAAAAAGACACGATGAAGGTGTAAGTCACAAACGGTGCGCACTTATGATAAAAAATACGGGGACGTTTGTTCGAGGTTGAGTCTGCACAATCTGAATGTTGTGGCACGCCAAATTTACAAACAAAAAAAATTTAATTTTGTTTGAAGAAAAAGGGACACTTTTTGGTCGTTTTTAGTTTCTGTTGCACTGTATCAGTAAAAAAGTTTCTCCCTCCTTCCTTAGCTTTCTTGTGTATTTGGTAAACACCCGTTTGTTTTGACAACGAATACACGCAGATTATCGATAAAGCAGAAGTGTAGATCTGTCATATATCGAGTTACGACAGCGAGTGGCCGGAAATCTGACATGATCATAGTGTATCGCGAAAGTCTGTGTGTGTGAAAAGTTGAAGTTTGAATTTGCCACGCGAGGCTCGCGTGCATGGCCGTCACTAGATGTCGTCACCCAAAAGTTGGTCAGCCGTGCTACCCTGTTTGACAGAGCGAGAGCATTTACAACCAGCAGAGTGGCCCACGCGAGAGCAAGACAGGAGAGCAGTGGTGAGAAGAGCCAAGGTTGAAAAATGAAAACGCGCGCATGGACAGAGTGAGAAAGAGGCCGGAGGTCGAAAAGGACGACTCGGGGCGGCGAATTTCCACCCCGCAGGCGCCTGGCCGTATCTCGGTATCTCAATTCCACGCCTGACATTGGACATTTAGGTATCTAATCCTCCAGGGGGATCAGCCGGCGAATCGACATTCTTTAGGTATCTAAGTCGGGCGGTGTCAATATTATTGCGGTGTCCGCAGCTTTTTACGTATTTTTCCGCACCGACATATTCAGGCTTTAATGGCCATTGAATTTAAGGTTTTTATGGAATTTAAGGTTTTTATATGAAATTCATACGGTTTTTATGAATTTCTTATGTTTATATGATTGTTTACATAGTTTTTATATGTCAATAATCAAAGTTTGTATGGTCGTTCACTATGTCTAGTCACATGTCAAGCAGTTGCTGAAAATTCAATGTACTTTTGCTTCTCCATGCTCTGCTCGACTTTTTTATCTTAAGCTATTATTTAATACTACTTTTCCTGTTAGATATAACATATAGCAACTACTCTGCTACACTCCAATTATCAACTGACAGCTGTTCCATTGCGTCAATCTTTAGGTTCACCACTGATGCAGAATTCTACATACCTTCACTAGAATTATTCGCAGAATGTTAAACTTAAGTCCTAAAGAGCGTATATGAGGTTAACTTCTCACTAGAGGGATTCCCAGCTACAAAGACAATAGACTTTGAATAAAGATCATTGAATTAAGTCCAACAGACGAGTGAAGTGGTATAGAGGACAAAGAGGAAGAGACTAACGCCCCTCGCCCCGGTTGAGAGGGGCGAGAGACACATCGTTCCTAGCAGCCTGATTAGAGGGGGAGGACACGTCTTTCTCCGGCCTGGATTGAGAGGGTGGAAGAGAGTAGGGATTAGGGGGAGGAGACAGACGCTGCCCGGATTGAGAGGGGGGAGAGAGG